TCGTGACGCAGTTCCTGACGACGGACGGCACGGACGAGGGGGACCTCTCGGAGATCCGCCGCTTCTTCCTGCAGGACGGCGCGGTCGTCCCGGATCCCACGGTGAGTGTCGGCGGCGACACGTTCGACCGTCTGAGCGACGGCTTCTGCGCCGCGCAGAAGAAGGCCTTCGGCGACGAGAACACGTTCGAGGCCCGCGGCGGCCTCGCGGCCGTCGGCGACCAGATGGACGCGGGCATGGTCCTCGTCATGTCGCTCTGGGACGACCACGACGTCGACATGCTCTGGCTCGACAGCACCTACCCGGCGAACGCCACGGGCCCGGGCGCCGCGCGCGGCTCGTGCGCGACGGACACGGGCAAGCCCGCGGACGTCGAGGCGAACCAGGCCGACGCCTACGTGACCTTCTCCGCCATCAAGGTCGGCGCGATCAACTCGACCTTCGCGCCGCCGACGGGCCACGTCTGCAAGAAGGCCGGCTGCAACGTCTGCGCGGCCTGCTGCCAGGACTACATCGGCGACTCGGACTGCGACGCGTGCGTCGCCGCGCAGTGCGGCGCCGCGGGCGGGCCCGCCTTCGCGACCTTCTAGGCGCGCCGCGCTCGCGCCGCGCTCCCCTTGATCTTCAAGATCCCCTGGCAAGATCCCCTTGCATTTTTGCGCATTGGAGTACTCCTTGCACACTCGTTGCACACCACTCCAGCGATCGATTTTGTTCCACCGCAAGCGGCCGCGCGCCGCGCGCCGCAACACATCTCTAAACGAGATGGACGCCCTCACGGCCGGCGTCTGGCCCTGGAGCGCCGCCGACGCGGCCATGCCCGCGGTGCTGTCGGAGCAGCTCGCCTACCAGTACCTGAGCGGCTTCCTCATCGGCTGCGGCGTCGGCGGCGTCGTCGGCGCGTCGACGCTCGGCGTCGCCATGTTCTCGCTGATCGCCCCCGTGGGGTCCCTCAAGGCCTTCACGGCCGTCGTGCCCGTCGTCAACTGCTGCGCCAACCTCGGCACCATCTCCGTCTACGTGCAGCACGCCGACTGGGCCATGTGCAAGAAGATCTGGCCCTTCACGGGCCTCGGCATCGGCCTGGGCACCTACCTCCTGCCGTGATGGG